TATCACCGGTTCAACCATCAATTTTACTGGTTGAACCATGAAAATCATGACATGTTGCTCTTTTCAGTTCAATGTTCAATTCAGGTTTCAAAATATTACTTTTAAGATTATCTATGTTTGGCTGTGGTTGCGTTGTCGTGCCAGGGGAGTGTGTCTTCAAAAAGTGCAATTTATTTTACTTTTAAATTAAACGATGAGTTTCTAGGATATTTTACTACAATTTCCTTAAATATAAGCGCTTAAAATTAAAGAGAATGAAAAAAAAAAGATGAGAAGCATGTGAGATTTGCATGGTGATAATAGACATGATATTGATAATAATAAAAGAGAAATTACAAGAAATAAAAGATGAAAAACTAAAAGAAAAGTAAAAAAATTCTAGTACACTGGAATTACTATTTTGTTAGGAGCTAATACTTTACTGATTGTTGGAAAACTCTTTGTTCTATTGAATGCATGGTTTGGGGTGATGCAGGGTCAATGTTTGAGTTTTGCTTTGGACAAATAGATTTGGGGATTGAGTTGTTGAAGTGTTTAGAGGCATTGTGTGGGCCTATATGCATATGGTAACTTCTCTTCTTATAAGCACAAAGTGACAATTTTCTCATGGTTCCATACTTCATTTTTTTAGGGCCACCAGTTGTAATTTTTCTCATAAATTCCTCTTGTTTTTTTTCCCCAAAAGGGTGTGCATTTGACCAAATCTTCCTCATTAATCTCTATTTTTAGCCTAAATAATTGGACTTAGGGTAAAAATCATATTTTAGCTCAAACAATTACCCCTCGCATATAAATTTGGTCGAGCTCGTCGAATGCCAAGTTTGTATAGATATCTGAATTGTTCCATCTTTCATGCATTTTTTATGTTTGCAGCGTGGAACTTGAAAAGAAAGCTCTTTTGAGTCAAAGTTTCAAATAATATTTTATTGACGGGCTGGCTCATTCTTAAAGAAGGACTCTGAATATAGATCTTGCTCTTTATTTGATCCCAAAGGTGCAGAGTCCTCCTCTAATTTATCAGTCTAAAATAGTTTGGTGCTCTCAAGTAGTTGCCACCTAAACTTTTCATCTGAAACTAGTTCTAAAGGCCATGATTTGGCTTTTACTTTAGTCCATCATCCTTGAAGTCATCAAAAGAATGCCTCTTAAGCTCTTCAAATATGCTTGGTTCGAAAGGCTAGTGTTGTGCAAAAATCCTTTGATCTGGTCTAACTCAAGATAATTTGATCTGGTCTTGATAAAAATTGATCTTTCAAAACTAAAAAATTTTGTTGACTTAATTTTTGGGGAATGGGTTGAAGTGTCGCGCCCTTTAGGGGTGTGTCAGGCATGCTAAAGGAGTGTGCCCCCAAATGGTTCCAAACACCTAACTTCTAAAATCGAACGGTGAGTTCTCAAAATTCTTTAGTACAATTTTTTCAAATAAAAGTACTTAAAAATAAAAGAAATGAGAAAATAAAGATAGAAAAACATGTAGAGATTTACATGGTAAGAGAAAACATAATATTGATAACGATAAAAAAAATTACAAAAAGTATAAGATGCATGATAAAACCTAAAAAAAAAAACATTGGCACGCTGCTACTATTTTGCTAGGAACTAGCGCTCTGTTGGTTATGAGAGAACTCATTGCTATTTATTATAGGGATTAGTGAGATCTATAATGATAAAAGGAGTCGTACTGAGTGATTTTGAAGTGACACAGGTTCAATGTTTGAGTTTTGCATTGAACAAGTAGATTTTGGGGTTGAGTTATTGAAGTATCTAGAGAAATTGTGTAGACTTATATGTTTGTGGTGGTTTCCTTTTTTATAGATACAAAGTGACATTTTTTTCCATGACTAGGGGCAAAACTAGGATGCAAACTGTGTGGGGCCAAAATTTATAGAACAATATCAATATATACTATATTGTTAGCTTTTTATTTTTTAAAAAAGTTGAAATAAGTGATTTCATTAAAATAATTTTATAATATGAAACTTATAAGATAAAAATACTTTAAAAATACATAATATCTTTAAATGCATAATTCTATTAGTTTTAAAAATAAATATGAAGAATAAATAAAATATTACATTTTAAAAATATTTTGGTATATTCACACACACACACACAAAAACATATCAATTTAAACAATAATACTTGATGTGTGACTTCCAAATTTTTGTTTTAAAAATAAAAAACTTACACAATGACCAGGCTAAAGTATAACTCTCCTCTAATTTAATACAAAATTTTATTTTAATTTCTTAATTTTATAAATTATCTTTTTAGTTCTCTAATCATAACATTGTTAGTTTAAAATGATAATTTTTTTATCAACCGTTGTTATTTTAAAAAATTAAACATAAAATATTTTGTCAAGATTTAAAAGTTTAATGTAAAAAATTTTTGTTAATGAAATTAACAATGTTAAGATTAGAGGACCAAAATATTATTTTTTTAAAATTAAATAATTAAAATGAAATTTTACATAAAATTAAAAAACTAAATATATACATTAGCCCAATGAATACAAATATTTTTTTAAAAAAGAGCTGTTTTCTAATTTTAAAACTATTTTTTGTTTTTAAAAATAAAAAAGTAAAAAATTTGTTTGGATAAGTGTTTTCATTTAGTTATTTTTAAAATTATTTTCAATTTTTGTTTTAAAAAAAAGAAATAACTCTAAGTTGTTTTCATTTTCTTTTTCTTATTTTTAAAATACATTACATTCAATTATTAAAATTATAGTTATCTTAATTAATTTTTATTACTAATCACCAAGACTAACTACCTATAACTATCACCATCAATTTATTTTTTTAATTCTAAAACTATTTTAAATCAAGTAACAAAATGAATTTTATTTTATTTTTATTTTAAAAATAATTTTAAAACTGTATTATAAAACTGTTTTTAAAAATAAAAAATGAGAATGAAAACCAAACAGGACCTAAGTTTGGCTCCTTTTTCTATCAAAAAGAATAATTAATATTAGCCATAAATAACCATGAACCAATAGCAATATATATATATATATATGTATATATATTTCATTTCTATTTAATTTAGCATGAGAATTTCACAATACCCATGAAATCACATAAACCTATGAGCGTTAGTTTTGGTTTGTTTGTGCGAATTAGAATTATGTTTTTTAAAAAATCATTTCCCATTACCCTCAGATAACTAAATCCCTAAACAGTTTATACAGAGGCAGACAGGTTATACGGGCCCCCCTTGACATATATACAGATTTGCCCGCACTCATGATTCCATGCTCCAATTTTTAGGGTCATTCGCTCCAGTTTCTTTCGTAATTTTCTTCACTCTTGCTTTTTGCAAAATGGAGTGTGCTCAACCGAGTATTGTTCATTAACCACCCATATTTTGAAAGCTGGGCTTTGGCCAAACTTTTTTTTTTTTAACTCAAATAATTAAGGTTGGGGCAAGAATCATATTTTAACTTAAACAATCTAAATTTAAAAATTCATTAAATTTATTAATTTCAATCCCTATTTCAATTATCTCTTTCAATATCTCATCAACATAACTTCTCACCACTTTAATTATCTCTTTAATCCTCTTAATCACTCGTGATCTACAGTTTTAATAAAAATCCCTTCGGTGCCTTCTCAATTTTAAAATTCTATTTGTGAAACTAAAATTCTCAACCTTAAAAATTGGTCCCTTTAAATTTGAGATTTCCGGTGCAAAGAAATAAACAGGCTCCTTTTTATCAAATACAAATACAACTCAACAGATAAGAAGTCTGCTCGAGATTGTGATGGGGAAAATAATATTAAAACTTAATTAATGTCACACTGCTTATTTTGCCCGTGATTCTACAGTTGAAAAATGTCATTTCTCTAATCCCGTTTGAATCAAAATTGCTAACTACTTAATTTCATCAAACACACATAATGCAGATCAACATTGACGTTCGGCTTGCCCCAAGAACGCGTCATTTCGTATTTAAAAAATTATTGTTATCGTGTTACACTTATATTAATATTTAAAAAAAAATTAGCATTAGCACGAATAAGTGCACATAGGTAAGCAGTACTTGCCCGCACCCAATAAAGGCAAGAGGAAATAGCACTTGCAGTTGCAGATACATTGGCATCACGTTATTAGGTTATGAAGTCAAAGTTCACATGTTATTCGAACACAGAAGTGGGGGTGTCGAAGTTCACATGATCTTCTTCTTCTTCTTCTTCTTCCTCTCCTCCTCCTCTCAATATCTTCCATACCTTAACGAATCCTTCTGAAACTTCTAATAACGACACTTTGTCAATTATAGGTGGTAGTTTCTTGAAACTTTGAATCTGTAATGCGTAAACTTAAGAATCGTATACATTGCACCTTTCTTCGTTACGATTTGATTCTCGGGCAAAGTTGTACATTCTCCAATAATATTAAAAGGATTAGTATTACTAAACGATGGAATCCCTCTAGTGTTTACTTATAAAACATCTTTTAAAAGATATCTTATTCATAAGATATTTTTTAATGTTATGTAATAGGTTTTCATTTTTACCTCTCAATATTTTTAATTATCGATCTAGTAAATTATAGATATTTACTGAGGGGTAAAAATAAAGTTTTTGATAATTTTTTTTGGAAAATTTAATATTAAAATAAATTTTAAAGATGCATGAAAATGTTAGGAACAAATTAAAGAAGGTAAAGTATAGAATTGACATAAAGTTTCAGGGGCTGACTATGTGTAGACTCCCTCCATTTCTCTGTTTCATTGGTTAATACACTTGATTTAAAATCTGCGAGTAAAATTACAAAAGTGGATTCTATTATTCAATTTTTTTTAAAACATCTAGATCCCAGATCAGGGGAAAAAAGGGGAACAAACAAACTTCTCTTGTTGCGTGATATTAACGAATGAGCAGGTTACAAATGAATATCATAATTGCGGTAACAACTCTGTTAACTCGTGGGCTCTGGTGTAAACGTTATCGTGGCCCCAAAAGTCGACGCTGAACCCGTCGCAAATACTTGGTTCACCCGTGAGCGGAGAGAATGGAATTGGAAATGCGGGTCAGCAGCATAATCACCCACTCCCGCAAGTTCGCTGTTTTCACCGGAATTATCAGCCGATAGGACTTCCGACCAGAAGTCCTCGTCCAAAGTCTCCAAAGTTGGCGTTTCAATATCATTTGTGGACACGTCATTAGTTTACGTTCGACATTGTCACTGGTAGTGAGGGTGGAGGCGTCACTGATACTGATAGAACATTGCCGGGGAGACAGCGGGGCACAGTGCTGTTTGATCTGGGTTTTGATGGTCACTGCGTGATCGTCATCGTCATCATCATTGGCGGAAGAACTCACGGGGTTTTGTTTTTTCTGTTTAGGGTTCCGATTCGTAGGGAGGTTTTCTTGGTTTTGTGGGAGCCTCTTCTTCAGGCGGGTGTGCCACACATTTTTTATCTCATTGTCCGTGCGTCCCGGTAACCTCGCTGCAATTGTCGACCACCTGCATCATTAAAAAACATGTTTAATGTTTAAACATGGTATTAACATTAAGCACTAGATACTTCCTTCCCTTAATAATAACCTTACGCACTAACCAATGTGCCAGCCTTTCATTTGCCTTTTTTAATTTTTTTTAATTTGGTGGAAAAGCAAAGGGTTTTTTATTTTCTTAGGAAGGAGCACGTGAAAATGCTGCAGCTGGAGTGAAGAATCTCCGCAGCATACCAACTTATCCATATCGTCTTGATTTTGCTCCCATCCAATTAGCTTTTCGGTCCAGCTCAACTCAAATCAAAGAACAGTTTAACCACATCATTTCA